CTTGGCTGCCTTACAACATTGCGTAGAAGGCTGAAGGCTGTCTGCAACCCAGACTCCGAGATCTTTCTGCGTTTCTGCTTTTCGAAATGGTATTCCGTTCAGATGGCATTGCCGCGTACTAGGGGTCTGATTTCCGAGGCGCGGAATGGTACATTTGTTCGAATTGAAATACAAGAGCCATCTGCGGGACCACTCGTCCAATCGACAAAGATTTTCTAGGAAGTTGGTCCCATCGGCAGCATCCTGGATGGCTTTCCAGATTTCAATTTTATCCGCAAACATAGCACTGTCACAGTCCAACCCATCCACGCAATTATTGATGAACAAGAGAAAGAGGGTTTGTCCGAGCACCGAGCCTTGTGGGACTCCACTCCCTATGAATGTGCGCTTTGATTGCTGTTTTTCTATGCAAAAATTTGGGAGCGGCCGACGAGGAAATTCTTAATCCATTTGAGAAGTTTGCCACCGATGCCCATTATTCTCAAATTGTGCAAGACCCGCTGGTGCGGAACACTGTCGAACGCCTTCCGGAAATCAACATAGGCCACCTGGACAGTGTGTTTTGCATCCAATGCTCGTGTCCAACTTTGCATTGTGTATAGCAAGTTCGTAACACATGATCTTCCCCTACGGAAACCATATTGCGCATTGGACAAGAGATCGTGGCTTTCCAGATAAGCCACCAACTCCTTTTTTATGGTTTTCTTCATCACATTGCAGCGGATTGATGTCAGACTGACGGGTCTGTAGTTCGTTGCAAGAGCACGACTACCGCTTTCTTAAAGGGGTGTAATGTGGGCCGTATTCCAGTCTGTGGGAAGGATTCCGGCATCAAACCATTCCTGGCACAGAAAGGATAGTGGATTGGCCAGCTTTTGGGCAAGTTCAAAGAGCAGCTTTGCTGGGATCTCGTCCGGACCGGGAGATTTACATTCCTTCAAGCCTTTTAGTTCTTCCAAAATCGTTGGTTCTCGAAAAACGATATCTTTGATAGTGGGATCTCCCATGTTCTCGGAACTAGTGGGAATAAAGTCTGCTTTCCTTGTGAAAACGGATTGGAAATATTGAGAAAAATGCTTAGCTTTATTTTAAATGTCCGATATCTCCAAACCGTCATCATTCCTCATGATAGGAATGGGATTCCTGTTACGTGTGCTCTTCCGCAAATAGCTGTAGAGCAATTTCGGATTTTTAACGGCTCGATGAAGCAAATTACTCTCGAAATCACGTCGCCTCTTGAAAATCCGGCGTTTCAACTTATTTCTTTGACCTATGTATTCTGTAAACGCTGCGATGTTGTTGTTTTCCCGAAATTTCCTCCACAATCTTCCTTCCTTATTGATCTCCATTTTAGTTCTCGTGTTAGCCACCAAGGGCGGTTGGAGGTCCTGGGCTTTGATACGGGACTGTAGCTCTTCATTGGATGCAGCAACCGATCCTTAAATAAATTCCAGTCCTCGTTATCGTTTCCGGAGAAGAGAACATACCAATCTATTTGTGCTGCCTCAGCTCTCCTTTGGCAAAAGTCACCTTTCCATATAGTCGGCCTCGTATCGTCTTTTGTATACGGTTCAGAATACAGCTCGTACTCCCATAAAATTACTGCATGCTTGACTCGACCGAGCGGGGATATGTAGTACACCTCGTCTATACTGTCAGGATCTTTGGTGAAGACGAGGTACAGACAACTAGCCTGTTGCCCTCCACGTGCTCTAGTTGGAGATAGGACACGTTGCGTGAGAAGAGCTTTTAGGGTTGTCTTTAGTCGACGGTAATCGAAGGCATGCTTCGAGCACTTCGCATGCATATCGTTCAATTGAATGCAGGGTGCATGAAAATCCCCCAAAAGAACAACGTCTGGTCGACTGGCGATCTCTTTTATGCTTTCCATTAGACAAGTGTATGAGTCGGGATCCGCCTGAGGGGGCCGGTAGATAGTTACGGCTTCGAGGGACTGAGACCCCCGTGCCTTTATAGTCAGCCGAATTGCCTCTGTGTTGTTAGAAATTTTGTCCATCCTCTCACACACTGTTAAGTTGCTCTTTACATACATGGCAACTCCTCCACCCCGGCGGCCCCTCCTGTCTCTCCTAAACAATTGGTATCCTGTTAGTGCTACCTCGCAATCACCCACGTTCTTTGACAGCCACGTTTCTGTTATTGCTATAACATCGGGAGGAGTATCGGCTGCCTGTATTTTGAGTTCATCAAGCTTGGAAAACAGACTCTGAGCATTGGTGTAAAAGAATTTAAGTTTACAACATTCGACAGTACTTCGTTCAGTTTGTCTCGGGCTTGACAATATTATGTTGCTGCTTACGAGAATCAGCCCACGTATTCGGGATACGCCTTTATGGGAGAAATATGTCCGCCTTTTTAGTGTCCATTTCACAAATGATATTGTATCTTGGAGGAATCTGCAAGCAGACTTATGAAAGTCATCGTAACAGTGCTAGGACTCTTCAGGAGATCCGACCACGACGAATTCCGGCACCAACACACAGACCTTGTCGATTTCACAAACGCACTATCAGGACAACACTTACGAGGAGCATTTGATGGGCCACTGGTCGAAAGTGCGAACAACATGGCAACTTCACTCGGAAATGTATTGTAAGCCTTTTTTATACGATAATGCTACTTGCGTGCCATTGTTGCCGTCGGCAAGCATTGCAATTCTTGCACTAGTTTGGCAGTTGTTGCAATTTCCAAATCTCTCTTCATCGGCACCTTTTGTATTTAGGCGTGATTTAAAATTTAACTCTCGACTGTCCACAAAAGACTGCGATTTCGGGCACTTTATTCAAGATCCATCAACAAACTCATAATATAAGGCAAGCATAGACAGCAGAAGTTATTGGAATCCATAAATTTCGCGACGGCTTACCAACCGCCGCCTGTTGTTGCATAACACAGATAAAAGGTGAGGAAGATACAGAGATTTGAACTTTCACAGAGAAAATCACTTTCGAACAGCAAGGTCATCGTATACTGCACGTTAACCAATCAATAACATGGTAACTAGAAAACGCAGCATAGAAAAGAAGACGGGGAAGTTAACACGCCGAGGGGTAGCGCAAATCAAAAAGGTTCAGATTTGCCGGGGCAAGCTGAGGTTTACCAAATAGTCTAACTTTTTTGCATATGCCTACGCCTGATTTAAATTCATTCCGGGAAAATGTTGCGTCAAATCCATAATTTACACGTTCCGCTTCTTGCTGGGTAGACGGGTTACTAAGTGCCATGACCATGTTTTTCATTGATCGAACACATATGCACAAAGTGTAGTTAAATGGTACTTCCTAATCCAACTATCCCTACATACTAGCAAACCACGAACGTGAAGTTTTCCAAAAGCAGTTGACGGTGGACCGCCTCGTTGTCCTTGCTCAAGTCAAAAAGACTGCCTTAGTACAATTCAGCTTGGAATTCCCTATACCTTGCGGATGGTAAGCAATGGTTTGAATATTATTTGTAATAGCGTACAACTTGTGACTTAAAAGAATGGTGCGATTGATAAATTACTCTATTAAAGTATATATATCGAGCTTCTGATTTTTTACAATTGTGTACCGCGTATATTAAAAGATATCAGAACAACGCCTTTAAAACTCTTTATTCCGTGTCAGGTTACGCAATATACTGTACATAGGGTGAGAATAACCGGATACCATAAGGAGATTATTCGACCTATTTCAGTGGAGTTATGTTTGCAGACAATTTGTGTGAGAAGCAGGTATGCGTTTTGCCTGAGTTCTGGTTCAATGTGTGCAGGTAAAGCCGGGAACATAAACAGTCATTCGGATGTTTTTCCAACCACGGCATCGATAACTCCCAAAAATGGTCACAGGAGGTCCATTTTAGATTTCAAGTACGCTTTTTATTGAGGATACAGATCGGAGGACTAGCCTGAATTGTCTCCTATGTACCTTCGTTAGTGGCGGCCATTAATCTGGTGAGGTCACAATGGTATTCAGATAAGAAAGTCTGAAGAGCACACCACCTGTGCTTAACTTACTTAAACTTACTTAAGTTCTTGATCTTGGTGATCTAGTATAAGAGTGGAAAGAACTGTAGTGCTATTTTTATAATACTGTTTGAGGGTAGTAAACCGAATGTGTGTATCTGAAGGTTCAAATGAAGTGCAGAAAGAAGGTGGTAGACGATGGAACAAATGCGAAGCAAAACTTCTTTTGTGCAACATTTGGAATATCAACACCAGCGTCAAATTCATAGTTTTCTACGAGATTTGAACACAGTTCTACTCCCTTTGTCACATTTACCAAGTCAGATGGACCATGGACTTCGGGCCCAATATTCATACATAAAAACTGCAGTCGGAGCCTATAGACCTAGAATATACTGATCTGCTCCAAATTCGCAGTTAATTTCTGAGGGAATTAAAAAGCAGCAATGTCTAAATCCGAGTATCTAGCATAAAGCAGACAGGGAAGGCTGAGGGACCCACTGATGTGCCGGACCCCTCGTATCTGTGTCATTCCGCGGCAGAGTATCGGCGAAGCACGCACGTATGGGCTTTTGGCTAGTACCTGAGCTGTTAGTATGGAATCCCCCAACCCTAACGATAGATGATTGCTGTAATAAGTTCTTCCAGTGAATTATAGACTCCGTCCATCATTGTCAGCGAGAAACAGTTTTTATAGGAAGTTCTTATTTCATTAAGACCAGATGAACTGATCCGTAAAAGCCTCTTAGTAAGATTGTGTTAGTGTAACTGGCAGATATGATGGGAACCCGAGCCTTTGTCCAAATAGTTAGAGACGGACTTTTCGATACTTGGTAGGGTAATGGTGTAAAGGCAAGTGTGAAGATTCAGTTCCCCTCTTCCTGACAGCAGTTTCCAGCTCCGCAGTGCCCTAATAGCTGTAAAAATCGTGTGACTGCTGGAAGATCAACTCCAACGACAAGTGTGGTTGAAGGAAAGTTTTCTGTATTTTCTACAACCAACTTTTTATTGTTAAGGCAACTTCCTTTATTGTATGCCTGGATTCTTGGAGGTGATTATGAACGTCGTCGAAGATGCGACAAATGTTTCCGGCGAGAAGGAATGTGGGCCAGAAGGCGATACGGTGGACCAGAACCCTAACCACAGTACGGAAGAAGAAGAAGAAGAAGAAGAAAAAGAAAAAGAGGAAGAAGGAGAAGAAGAGGAAGAAGAAGAAGAAGAAGCAGGAGAAGTACCAGGCGGATCCCCAAAGATCTAGATTGCTGTATACGAGTCAAATACTAGTTCAATAATATTTAATTCCAATTTGGAACTAGATATCAAAATTCTGAAAGCAAAACATTATTTTAAATAACCTTCATAACCATCGTTGTTAAACATTTCACAAGTCTTTCCTTGTAAATTTTCCCATTTTAAACTATAGTTCAAACCCAAGACCTTCTCTGGCCAAAACATGAGATGGGAGACCAAGGTAAGAGGTTAACTTGCAACCATAATGTTCGAAAAACGAGCTGCCGTAGAGGTCAAATTGTTTAAACTAACGTTTTAAATAAAAACGTCTTCATCCATGTGTTCAGCATAAGAAATGGCTTGGAAACCCCTAGGGCCATCGACGGCTATGATGGTCAAGACACGTAAAGTGGAGATGAGTAAGGCTAGAGAGACCTTAGTGGTTGCTGTTCTGTCCCAGCATTTTCGTCTAACTGGGTTGATGTCTGAAGTGAGCAGAACCGCAAGGTTAGGAGTTTTCACCAAAGCAGCATTTACGGGGGGAACTCTTCATCGTCAGGGTTTCTGTATGAATCAGGTTTTACGGACAGTTTTAAACGACTTCCCAGATTATGCAACCGAAAACATCAGCCATAATCTAGGTCGGTTTCTACATCCTTGGAAAATACAAGTTGGGTTTACTATGTATTCAAACCTGTCATCTCTTTTGCGTTAAAAAAACCGTCGGAGATAAATATCTAAAAACGGAAAAAAAGTTTCCCTTGTCGCTACCGCCGGATTTTCCTTCCTGTCACAGATAGCGACCACAGACGCAACAAGCTTTAAATTACCTTCGAATATCCAACATAATGCTATTTCATAAATGTATCGGATATGGACAACGTAAAACTGAGGAATCGACTTCGGAGAAGGAGAAGTTAAGAAGGCCAACTATCTACTCGAACCAAATACACTTGTG